GTGCTATTGTAAATGTAATCCTTTCTCTAATTTCTCTTTCTACAGTTGCATTGTTAGTGTATAAGAAAGCAACTGATTTCTGTGCATTGATTTTGTATCCTGCCACATTACTGAATTGCTGGATGAGTTCTAGTAATTTGGGGGTGGAGTCTTTTGGGTTTTCCACATAAAGTATTATGTCGTCTGCAAAAAGAAAGAGTTTGACTTCTTCTTTGCCAATCTGAATACCTTTTATTTCTTTTTGTTGTCTGATTGCTGTTGCTAGGACTTCTAGTACTATTTTGAACAACAGTGGTGAGAGTGGGCACCCTTGACATGTTCCTGATCTTAAGGGAAAGGCTCTCAGCTTTTCCCCATTGAGGATGATATTCGCTGTGGGTTTTTCATAGATGGATTTTATGAACTTGAGGAATGTTCCCTCTATCTTTATACTCTGGAGAGTTTTAATCAGGAAAGGATGTTGTATTTTGTCAAATGCTTTTTCTGCATCAATTGAGAGGACCATATGGTTCTTCTCCCTCCTCTTATTAATGTGTTCTATCACACTGATTGATTTGTGAATATTGAACCACAATTGCATCCCGGGGATAAATCCCACTTGGTCGTGATGGATGATCCTTTTAATGTATTGTTGGATCCTATTAGCTAGGATTTTGTTGAGGATTTTGGAATCCATATTAATCAAGGATATCGGTCTGAAATTCTCCTTTTTGATGGGGTCTTTGCCTGGTTTGGGGATTAAGGTAATCCTGGCCTCATAGAATGAGTTTGGAAGTTTTCCTTCTGTTTCTATTTTTTGAAAGAGCTTCAGTAGAATAGGTATTATTTCTTCTTTGAATGTTTGGTAGAATTCCCCAGGGAATCCATCAGGCCCTGGACTCTTGTTTTTTGGGAGGATTTTGATCACTGCTTCAATCTCGTTACTGGTTATTGACCTATTCAGGTTGTCGATTTCTTCCTGTTTCAGTCTTGGCAGCTTATAGGTTTCCAGGAAGGCATCCATTACATCCAGATTGCTCAGTTTATTGGCATATAGTTATTGATAATAATTTCTAGTAATTGTTTCTATTTCCTTGGTGTTAGTCGTGATATCTTCCCTTTCATTCATAATTTTATTAATTTGGGTCCTTTCTCTTTTCTTTTGGATAAGTCTGGCCAGTGGTTTATCGATCTTATTAATTCTTTCAAAGAACCAACTTCTAGTTTCATTGATCTGATCTACTGTGTTTCTGGTTTCTAATTCATTGATTTGTGCTCTAATATTAATTATTTCTCTTCTAATGCGTGGCTTAGGCATCGTTGGTTGCTTTTTCTCTAGTTCTTTAAGGTGTAGAGTTAGTTGGTGAATTCGGGATTTTTCTATTTTTTTGAGTGAGGCTTGGATGGCTATGTATTTCCCCCTTAGGACCGCCTTTGCAGTATCCCATAGGTTTTGGACCGATGTGTTTTCGTTCTCATTGATTTCCATGAATTGTTTAAGTTCTTCTTTGATTTCCTGGTTGACCCAAACATTCTTGAGCAGAGTGGTCTTTAGCTTCCAAGTGTTTGAATTTCTGCCAAATTTTTTCCTGTGATTGAGTTCCAGTTTTAGAGCATTGTGGCCTGAGAATATGCAGGGAATAATCTCATTCTTTTGGTATCGGTTGAGACCTGATTTGTGACCCAGTATATGGTCAATTCTGGAGAAAGTTCCATGTGCCCTCGAGAAGAATGAGTATTCTGTTGTTTTAGGGTGGAATGTTCTGTAAATATCTATGAGGTCCATCTGGTCCAATGTATCATTCAAAGCTCTTGTTTCCTTGTTGATTTTCTGCTTGGATGACCTGTCCATTGCTGAGAGTGGAGTATTGAGGTCTCCTACAATTAACGTATTGTTATCAATATGACTCTTTATTTTGGTTAACAGTTGGCTTATGTAGATGGCTGCTCCCATGTTGGGGGCATAGATGTTTACAATTGTTAGATCTTCTTGTTGGATAGACCCTTTAAGAATGATATAGTGTCCTTCTGTGTCTCTTATTACAGACTTTAGTTTAAAATCTAATTTGTCTGATATAAGAATTGCTACCCCAGCTTTCTTTTGAGGTCCGCTGGCATAGAAGACAGACCTCCATCCCTTCATTTTCAGTCTGGATGTATCTTTAGGTTCAAAATGAGTCTCTTGTAGACATAATATGGATGGGTCCTATCTTTTTATCCAATCTGCAACCGTGTGCCATTTTATGGGAGCATTTAGGCCATTCACGTTGAGAGTGATTATTGAAAGATATGAATTAATTGTCATCATGTTGCCTGTGAAGACATTGTTTTTATAGATTGTCCCTGTAAATTTCTGTTGTAGCTCACTCTTGGGGTCTTTCTCCTTTTGTAGAACCCCTCTTAATATTTCTTGCAGGGCCGGCTTAGTAGTCACATATTCTTTCAGCTTCTGCCAGTCTTGGAAGCTCTGCATCTTTTCATCCATTCTCAATGAAAGCCTTGCCAGATAATGTATTCTTGGCTGCATGTTCTTCTCATTCAGTACCCTGAATATGTCTTGCCAGGACTTTCTGGCTTGCCAGGTCTCTGTGGATAGGTCTGACGTTATTCTGATGTCCTTCCCTCTGTATGTAAGGAATCTCTTCCCTCTAACTGCCCTTAAGATGGTTTCCTTGGTTCTAAGATTTGCAAGTTTTACTATTACATGCCAGGGTGTTGGCCTGTTTTCCTTGATCTTGGGAGGGGTCCTCTCTGCCTCTAGGAGTCGAATGCTTGTTTCGTTCCCCAGATTAGGGAAGTTCTCAGCTACGATTTGCTCAAATATATCTTCTAGTCCTCTCTCTCTCTCCACTCCCTCTGGGATTCCAATTATTCTGACATTGGAACACTTCATGGTGTCACTTATTTCTCTGATTCTATTTTCATGGATTCTGAGTTGTTTTTCCCTGGCCTCCTCTTTTCCCTTTTTATCTGTTATATTGTCTTCCAGGTCGCTTATTCGTTCTTCTGCCTCACTTACCCTAGCTGTTAGATTATCTAGATTGGATTGGATCTCATTGACAGCATTTTTAAGTTCTGCCAATTCAGCTTTCATTTCTTCCCTTAGAGACTCTATGTTGCCATTAATTGATTTCTCCATTCTAGCCATTGTCTTCACAATTGCTAGCCTGAATTCCATCTCCGACATCTTGGTTATATCTGCATCCATTTGTAAATCTGCAGCATAAGTCATAATCTCTGAGTCTTTTCTATTTTGGGAGTTCCTCCTCCTAGTCATTCTGTTGAGGGGTGGTTGAGGGAATGTATAGAGTCCAAATTATTGACCAGAACCCAAGCAAGATGCACCTGTTTTCTTGAGACCTTAGGGTTGCTGGCCTCTTGTTTTCCCAGCCTGTCTTCTGGGGGAGGGGCCTGCCATGCTGTTACTCAGGCAACCCTGTTTGGGCAGAGTTGCCCTGCGCCCCTGTGGCAGGGGATGGGCTCAGTGGGAATCCGTTTTGGGGGCTTTTGTGCGCCTTTCCCTGGCAGCTTTCCACATCTGTTCCACAAGTCAGAGCAGAAGAGACCGTTTCCAACCCTCTGCCTCAGAGCAGAGAGACCACAGTCTGTTCTTCAGTGAGCTCTCCAGGCCACACTGTCTCTGTTTCTGTCCATGCTGCTATTAACTGCAGCGGCCTGGGTTGTGCGCCCCTCCACAGTGCTCCCAGTCCTGCCTCCAGGTCCGGGCATGTCTCTGCCCTTTGTGCTTCTAAAACCACCAGCTGCTCCCAGTTCATGAGCGCACGACTCCACCACTCCGGATTTCCTTCCCGGGGGCTGCAGTTCGCAGGTGCAATCCCGCAGCTACAGATTTCCATCCCAGGGGCTGCAGTTTGCCCGTGCAACCCCTCCACTCCAGGTTTCCATCCTGGGGGCTGCCCTAGAGTCCTTTCCCCCGCCGCTACCGTCTGTGCCCATCTGCAGCAGGCGAGGCTGTCACTCACTGGCGGTGTAGGATCCCCACAGCCAGGCACCCTCCCACTGCCGTTTATCCTCTGATATCTGCCCGCAGAATCACAGCTCTCCACTTCATACCTCAAAACCAACTGCCTGTGATATTCTGTTTGTAGAGATCCAGATCTTCTTACATCTCAGGCTGATTTCGTGGGTGCTCAGAGTGGTCTGGTAGATATCCAGCTCAATTATCGGGACCAGTTGAAATAGGGTCCCCTACTCCCCCACCATCTTTCCCCCTCTGCCACTACATTCTTCACTTTAATTAATAAAACCCTTTAAACATGGACACCAAATATCCCACACTTCAATGAGTAAATGTACATCATCAAAAGCACATTTTCCACAATGAAATATGGTGTGATTGAAAATTTTGCTTCATCCTATTTCAGGTCTTCCCTGATACTGAGCCCATATTAGGTCACTTGGTTTATGCAAATTTGTCTTTCTGTAGATTACACTTGGATTGTGTTCCTCATAAGCGATTTTTGCCTTATTATTCTGTGCCAGGGTTACTGTGGATACTGAACCGATATGAGAACAGGATCCGAATGAGGATCATAAAGCCCATGACTAGCTACAAAACAAACCAGTAGGTTAAAGTCTCTATTATCAGGAAGAGCATTTAAGGTAATAATGTAGAAAGGAATGGCAGACACAGAATGAAAAACTATGATCTCAGAATTTCCTCTACAATAAAATTATAAGAATGGCCTCAGTTGCAAAATGTAGTTTATTCCATAAAACTAGTAGAGCTCCTCACTCTATGAGGCAAATGGAATTCTCCAAATTGTTTCTGATTCAAGGTTGGAAATAATTTGGAAATTAAGAAAACAAAAAAGAAAAAATTGTTGGCTATCAGAAGGAGCAGAAAGTTTAATGAAGCAATTGAACTTTAGAAAAAGTGAAAATCCAAGATACAGAAAGAGGGATTAGGTTCTTATTTCATGATCCAATTAAAGAGTATCAATTTCTAGCTATTAGGCATTAACCCTGCAAACACAGATACTACTTGAAAACTAGCCCTTTTATGGCTTCCCTATGAAAAATACATTTAAAGCCCCCTTTATGTATTTGTTCCTTAGGCTGCAGATGAAGGGGTTCAGCATGGGTGTGACCATTGTGTACATCACTGAGGCTACTGCACTTGAGTGTGAGCTCTAAGGAGCAGCAGAGTTAAGGTACACTCCTAAGCCTGTACAGTAAAATAAGGAGACACCTGAAAGGTGAGATGCACAGGTGGAAAATGCTTTATACTTGCCCTGAGATGATGAGATCCCACATATGAAGGAAACTATCTTAGAGTAAGAGTAAAAGACCCCAGCAAGGGGAGCAGCAGCCATCAGCACAGTTGCAAAATACATCACCATGTCATTAAGAAATGTACCAGAACAGGCAAGTTGGATCACCTGATTGAGTTCAGAGAAAAGGTGGAGGATTTCCACCTCTGTACAGAAGGATAGCTGCAACACCATTAACGTTTGTAACAAGGAATGCAGGACACTCATGATCCAGGACACCAGAACCAGCAGTCCACAGAGCCGGGGGTTCATGGTGACTGTATAGTGTAGGGGGTGACAGATGGCCACAAAATAGTCATAAGCCATCACAGTCAGGAGGAAGTTGTCCAAACTTGCAGAAAGTAGGAAAAAGCACATCTGCATGATGCAGCTTTCATAAGTTATGACTTTTCTCCATGTTTGTATATTCACCAGCATCTTGGGGATGGTGGTGGAGGTGAAACAGATGTCTACAAAGGACAGGTTGGCGAGGAAGAAGTACATGGGGGTGTGGAGGTGGGAGTCAAAGCTGATGGCCAGGATGATGAGCAGGTTCCCAAGTATGGTAACCAAGTACATGGACAGGAACAGCCCAAAGAATAAGAGTTGTAATTCTGGTTCCTCCAAAAATCCCAGAAGAAATTCTGAAATTCATGTATCATTCTCTAATCCCATGTCATCGATGTGACTACCAAAATAAGATAGAGCACGACACAATCATGCATTATTAACCTGGCAGGTGTATTATTGTTCATATTCTGCACTCGAGAAATTAATGTTTATATTTGTATGGAATGTGATCAAAGCATGAAAAACTAGGAATAGAAGGAAACTATCTCAACATAAAGCCTTTTATGAAAAACTCACAGCAAGCATGATACTCAATGGGGATACAGTGAACATTTTTCCTGTATGGTCAGGAACAAGGCAAGGATCCTGCTTTCCTGACTTCTACTCAACATAACACTGGAAGTTCTAGCCAGAGCAACTAAGGAAAGAAAAAGAAATAAAAGGCATACAAACTGGAAAGGAAGAAATAAATTTATGTATGTAGATGATGTGATCTTATATGTAGAAAATCCTACAGATGCCACAAAACACTAACAAAACTATTAAATTAATTCAACCAAGTAACTGGATACAAAGCCAGCCTTCAAAAAATCAGTTGCTTCTCTATATACAAACAGTGAACAATCTGAAAAAGAAATAAAATCATTCCATCTATGTGACATCCAAAAGAATAAGACTATCACCTCACAACAGTCAGAATGGCTAGTATAAAAAGACAAGAAATGACAAGTGTTGGGGAGGATGTGGAGAGGAGGGAAACTTTTTCACTGTTGGTGGGAATGCAAACTGGTGCAGCCACTGTGGAAAACAGTATGTAGGTTCAAAATATTAAAAATAGAAATACCACATGATCAAGTAATCTACTTCCAAAAGAAGACAAAAACACTAATTCAAAAATATATACGCACCCAACGTTTATTGCAGCATTGTTTACAATAACCAAAATATGAAGGCAGCCCAACCCAAGTGTCCATCAATAGATGAATGGATATATTTGATATTTAAGAAACAAAACAAAGAAAAAGAGGTAAGCTAAAAAATAGACTCTTAACTACAGAGAACAAACTGCTGGTTACCAGAGGGGAGGTGGGTGAGGGATGGGTGAAATAGGTGAAAAGAATTAAGAATACGCTCATCATCGGGGAGGAGCAAGATGGCGGAGGAGTAGGAGACCTAAATTTCGTCTGGTCCCAGGAATTCAGCTAGTAGTTATTAAACCATTCAGACTCAAGAGGAGATCAAAGACAAGAATAGCAGCAATTCTATGAACAGAAAAGCAACCACTTTCTGGAAGGTAGGACATGAGGAGAAGGAATGGGAGGTAATACATGGGAAGATAGACCATGGCGGGGTGAAGCCTCCATTAGCTGGGTACCAGCCAGTGATAGAGCAGCAGAGCACAAAATCACAACATTTAGAAGTCTGCTCCACTAAGGGACATCGCCCCAGTGGCTAAGCAGGGGGTGGAACCCTAGCTGGAACAGTGTGGTCTCAGGACCCTTGGGGTCACAGGAAGACCAGGGGTGCCTGAGTGTGGCAGAGCTCCCAGGTATCAGAGCAGAGAAGCTGGCTGCAAAGACAGAGCTGAGGAGTGGGCTCTCAGCTTGGGGTTGCCATAAACTGGGATCCCTGGCACAGTCAGGCCACTGCTCTTCAAGCAGAGTCCAAGAAGCGGCAGATACAGGGAGACTCCCCTTCTTCCCCAGGGAATAGTAACACGGGAGACTGCCACAGGAATCTGCTGGGTTTAGAGACTCCAAACGGGGTCATGTGCCAGAGATAGAAATGCTTGGTCACAGGCCAACTAAGCACGGAATGTGGCCAGAGACCAGGGAGACAGGAGTGATTGGCTGCTTTTTTCTGAGGGCTCACTGAGGAGTGGGGCCCCAAGCTCTTGGCTCCTCCAGGACCAGAGATTGGGAGGCCTTCATTTTCATTCTTGTCCTCCAAAGCTGTATGGAAAGCTTTCAGGGAACAAAAGCTACTGAGAGCAAACCCAAGCGGATGACTTAGCCTGGCCCTGGCAAGGCTGATGCAATTCTGCCTGAGGCAAACACATTTGAAAATCACTGCAACAGGACCCTCCCCCAGAATTTCAGCAAGAACAACCAGCTAAGACCAAGTTTACCAATAAATGAGAACTGCAAACTCCAGCGCTAGGGGAATACAGCACATAGAATTATTGGCTGTTTTCCCATGATTCTTTAGTCTTTCAAAGTTAATTTTTTAAATTTTCTTTATTTTTTTTCCTTGTGTATTTTCTTAGTTGAATTTTTCTTCTTTCCATTATCAACCAACATCTTATCAATTCCTTTTGTAAAATCTTTTTTACGTTTCATTTTTACAATCATATTCTATCACTTCATTGTATTTAACCTTATTTTTTGTATATATATGTTTTTCTTTCTTTAAAATAACAGACATTTTTCAAAAGAAGACATACAAATGGCTAACAGACACATGAAAAAATATTCATCATCATCATTAGCCATCAGGAAAATTCGAATCAAAACCACATTGAGATACAATGTTAAATCAGTCAGAATGGCAAAAATTGACAAGGCAAGAAACAAATGTTGGAGAGGAAGAGAAAAGGGAACCCTCTTTCAATGTTAGTGGTAGTGCAAGTTGGTACAGCCACTTTGGAAAATAGTGTGGACGTGCCTCAAAAAATTAAAAGTAGAGCTACCCTATGACCCAGCAATTGCACTCCTGGGTATTTACCCCAAAGACACAGATGTAGTGAAAAGAAGGGCCCTATGCACCCCAATGTTCATAGCAGCAATGTCCGCAACAGCCAAACTGTGGATAGAGCTGATATGCCCTTCAACAGATGAATGGATAAAGAAGATGTAGTCCATATATACAATGGAATATTACTCAGCCATCAGAAAGGATGAATACCCAACTTTTACATCAACATGGATGGGACTGGAGGAGATTATGCTAAGTGAAATAAGTCAAGCAGAGAAAGTCAATTATCATGGGGTTTCACTTATTTGTGGAACATAAGGAATAGCATGGAGGACATTAGGAGAAGGAAGGGAAAAATGAAGGAGGGGAAATCGGAGGGGGAGACGAACCATGAGAGACTGTGAACTCCGAGAAACAAACTGAGGGTTTTGGGGGTGGGGTGGGGGGATAGGTTAGCCCAGTGATGGGTATTAAGGAGGGCATGTAGTGCATGGAGCACTGGGTGTTATACGAAAACAATGAATCATGGAACACTTTATCGAACACTAAAAACATACTGCATGGTGACTAACATAACATAATTAAATTAAATTTAAAAAATAAAAATAAATAAAGATAAATTAATTAATTTAAAAATTCGGGCATACAGTTTCTTCTAACAGATCAAAATATTCCCTAAATCTAGTGTATGATGCTGTCCTAGTCTCCCGGCTGATCACATTCTCTCTGTTTTTTCATTCTTTTTTCAACCAACTTCTTACCTTAACAATTCCTTCTTAAAATATTTTTAATTTTCATCTTTACAGTCTCATTCTATCCCTTCATCATAATTACCCTTATTTTTGAATATATATCAGTTTTTCTTTCTTTAAAATTTTGGGAGGCGATTTCTTCTAACAGACCAAAATACACCCAAAATCTAGTGTGTGGCTCTGTTCTACTCACCAGCCTGATCATATTCTTTTTTCCCCTTTCTTTTCCCCACGGTTTCAAGTCTCTTTTGATTTGTTTAGTGTATATTTTACTGGGATTCTTGTTACCATTTTACCATTTTGTTCTCTCATCCATCTATTCTCCTCTGGACAAAATGACAAGATGGAAAAACTCACCTCAAAAAAAAAGAACAAGAGGCAGTACTGAAGGCCAGGGACCTAATCAATAGAGACATTAGTTAAGATGTCAGAACTAAAGTTCAGAATGATGATTATAAAGATACCAGCTGGGCTTGAAAAAAGCATGTAAGATATTAGAGAAACCCTTTCTGGAGAAATAAAAGAACTAAAATCTAACCAAGTCAAAATCAAAAAGGTTATTAATGAGGTGCAATAAAAAACGGAGGCTCTACAATGTCCACAATAGCCAAACTGTGGAAAGAGCCAAGATGTCCATCGACAGATGAATGGATAAAGAAGATGTGCTGTATATATACAATGGAATATTATGCAGCCATCAAAAGGAATGAGATCTTGCCATTTGCAATGACATTGATGGAACTGGAGGGTGTTATGCTGAGTGACATAAGTCAATCAGAGAAAGACATGTATCATATGATCTCACTGATATGAGGAATTCTTAATCGCAGGAAACAAACTGAGGGTTGCTGGAGTGGGGGGGGTGGGAGGGATGGGGTGGCTAGGTGATAGACATTGGGGAGGGTATGTGCTATGGTGAGCACTGTGAATTGTGCCAGACTGTTGAATCACAGATCTGTACCTCTGAAACAAATAATGCAATATATGTTAAGAAATAAAAAAAAAAAAGAAGATAGCAGGAGGGGAAGAATGGAGGGGGGAAATCAGAGGGGGAGACGAACCATGAGAAACTATGGACTCTGAAAAACAAACTGAGGGTTCTAGAGGGGAGGGAAGTGGGAGGATGGGTTAGCCTGGGGATGGGTATTAAAGAGGGCACATTCTGCATGGAGTACTGGCTGTTATGCACAAACAATGAATCATGGAACACCACATCAAAAACAAATGATGTAATGTATGGTGATTAACATAACAATAAAAAAATTTAAAAATGGAGGCTCTAATTGCTAGGATAAATGAGGTAGAAGACAGAATTAGAGCTATAGAAGACCAAATGATGGAGAATAAAGAAGCTGAGAAAAAGAGAGATAAACAACTACTGGATCACGAGGGCAGAATTCCAGACATAAGCGATACCATAAAGTGAGACAACATTAGAATAATTCGGATTCCAGAAGAAGAAGAAAGAGAGAGAGGGGGAGAAGGTATATTGGAGCAAATTATAGCAGAGAACTTCCCTAATTTGGGGAAAGAAACAGGCATCAAAGCCCAAGAGGCACAGAGAACCCCCCCTCAAAATCAATAAAAATAAGTCAACACCCCAACAACTAATAGTAAAACTTACGAGTCTCAGAGACAAAGAGAAAATCCTGAAAGCAG